TCCCTCAGGTTGGGAAGGACATATGGGGGATACGGAGACATTCATTAGAGAAACGGGAACCAAGGCTGACGGGCCCAGACAGGTGCCATGAGGATCAATTTGGCTCCATCCATGGTGATCTTCTTGAGGACACTGGGTATCAGTACAATGGAGGAAAATGCATCGAGAACCCCCTCCCCCAATTGAGGAGAAAGGCATCTTAAAGGGACCCGGGACTGATGCCCACCCTGGAGCAAAGTAACAACAATTCTTGGTTTTGTAGGTAGCGAAGAGGTCTACAAGGGAGAAACCCCTCCAGTGGAAGATATGGCGGAGAACATCTCTGCAAAGTTCCCAATTGTGATCCGGTGCAAACTGTCTGCTCAGGGAGTCTGCAGCAACATTGTTGACAGCAGGTAAGTAAGATGCTATCAACGTGATGTTGTTTCAAATGCACCAGTTCCAAAGGTGAAGTGCTTCTTCACAAAGGGAACGAGATTGTGCACCACCATGGTGATTGATATAATACATTGTAGTGATATTGTTTGTAAGTATTCTTACCGTGGCATCCTGAATATATCTCTGGAAATGTTTGCAAGCATTGAAGACTGCCCTGAGTTCCCAGAGATGCATCTCCCTGTCATGCCAGGCCTGCACTGTTAATTTTGAACAGTTGGGGTGCTTTGTGGTACATGAGCCTCACCCAGACAATGGAGACATCAGGAGTGGCTGTCTGAAACGGGCATGGGTTCACGACATGTGTCGCATTTCTTGAAACCCGGAGAACCGGGCATCTCAGGTTCAGAATAAATCTTTTCTTCCTCTTCTCTTTTTTTAGGCCTGAGGGCCGGTAACAATGCAGAACTTTTCCTAACATTATTTATTTATTTATAAACAACTGCGAACTATAAAAGTAACTCTAACTAACTACAGGCAGTCCCCGGGATACGTACAAGATAGGGACTGTAGGTTTGTTCTTAAGTTGAATCTGTATGTAAGTCGGAACTGGCGTCAGCCGCTGCTGAAACTGACCAGCGGCTGACTACAGGAAGCCCGAGGCAGAGTTGCTCTTCCCCAGGCTTCCTGGAATCAGCCGCTGATCAGTTTCAGCAGCAGCTGACTTGGGGACGCCTGGGTTTCTTAAGTTGAATCTGTATGTAAGTCGGAACTGGCGTCAGCCGCTGCTGAAACTGACCAGCGGCTGACTACAGGAAGCCCGAGGCAGAGTTGCTCTTCCCCAGGCTTCCTGGAATCAGCCGCTGATCAGTTTCAGCAGCAGCTGACTTGGGGACGCCTGGGTTTCTTAAGTTGAATCTGTATGTAAGTCGGAACTGGCGTCAGCCGCTGCTGAAACTGACCAGCGGCTGACTACAGGAAGCCCGAGGCAGAGTTGCTCTTCCCCAGGCTTCCTGGAATCAGCCGCTGATCAGTTTCAGCAGCAGCTGACTTGGGGACGCCTGGGTTTCTTAAGTTGAATCTGTATGTAAGTCGGAACTGGCGTCAGCCGCTGCTGAAACTGACCAGCGGCTGACTACAGGAAGCCCGAGGCAGAGTTGCTCTTCCCCAGGCTTCCTGGAATCAGCCGCTGATCAGTTTCAGCAGCAGCTGACTTGGGGACGCCTGGGTTTCTTAAGTTGAATCTGTATGTAAGTCGGAACTGGCGTCAGCCGCTGCTGAAACTGACCAGCGGCTGACTACAGGAAGCCCGAGGCAGAGTTGCTCTTCCCCAGGCTTCCTGGAATCAGCCGCTGATCAGTTTCAGCAGCAGCTGACTTGGGGACGCCTGGGTTTCTTAAGTTGAATCTGTATGTAAGTCGGAACTGGCGTCAGCCGCTGCTGAAACTGACCAGCGGCTGACTACAGGAAGCCCGAGGCAGAGTTGCTCTTCCCCAGGCTTCCTGGAATCAGCCGCTGATCAGTTTCAGCAGCAGCTGACTTGGGGACGCCTGGGTTTCTTAAGTTGAATCTGTATGTAAGTCGGAACTGGCGTCAGCCGCTGCTGAAACTGACCAGCGGCTGACTACAGGAAGCCCGAGGCAGAGTTGCTCTTCCCCAGGCTTCCTGGAATCAGCCGCTGATCAGTTTCAGCAGCAGCTGACTTGGGGACGCCTGGGTTTCTTAAGTTGAATCTGTATGTAAGTCGGAACTGGCGTCAGCCGCTGCTGAAACTGACCAGCGGCTGACTACAGGAAGCCCGAGGCAGAGTTGCTCTTCCCCAGGCTTCCTGGAATCAGCCGCTGATCAGTTTCAGCAGCGGCTGACGCCAGTTCCGACTTACATACAGATTCAACTTAAGAACAAACCTACAGTCCCTATCTTGTACGTATCCCGGGGACTGCCTGTACCTATTAAATATAACAAATATAAGAACTAATTTACACACACTTAAATTTTCTGACTAGACTAAGTCGAAGAGAGTTCACTCCAACCGCAGCTAGGGGCATCTGAGAGGAATAGATGGCAACCAAACTGTGCGTGTGTGCAAAAGGGCACGAACACCACGAGGTGCTGACCGCACATGTGCGGTCTGGCTGCCAACTGCTATGCAAAACTCTGATCTGCGGCATTGGGACGAGCCTGACACCTATAGTGGAGCACGCATGGGGACATCACTCGAAGAAGAATAGCAAGATTCTACATTATTCTTTCCCTCATCATATTTTTCCTGGAATATTTCATACCTTGTAATTATGTCATCAGTCAGTTGCTAATTAATATGAACTCCTCCACACTCTAGCCTCAACAAGAAAAGAAAAGAAAAGAAAAGAAAAGAAAAGAAAAGAAAAGAAAAGAAAAGAAAAGAAAAGAAAAGATGTTCTTGGACTAAGCTCCCTTGGTTGCATTGATGAGACAATGGAGTTTCTACAGCAGCACCCCACCCCCATGTAGTCACATGTCTCCCCTGCCCCAGCAAGCCAGCACAATCCATTTGAAATGTTGGCATCCCCCATGCAGCCTGCTTCCCCCACTCTCTCCCACCCCAAAAGAGAGTCTTGTGTCTCTCCTCTGTCCCAGAGTCTGCAGCCCAACTAGGACTGCTGTGCTGAAACAGAGAAGGTCTGACTCTTTTCTACAACGCAGATAGGAGAGAGTCAGGACACCCCAAACACTCCCTATTTCACTGCACAGACAACAGCACCCATCCACTCCCTTTTTCCCATACCCACCCCTGTGCAATCTGTTTCCCCAAACCCCAGCCAAGCAAAGTCTAGGAGAGAATCCTACCTCTCAAAGTTGCAGACACCAGCAGCTGTAACCCAGCTGAGAGTCAAAGACTATACTGCAAACTCCCTATCCCCAACTCACCAACACCAGCACCCACTTGCAGTCTGCTTCCCTCCCCTCCCAGTCCCTTGCCCCAGACTATTTGGGGGCTGGGAGGGAATTGTGGGTTTCTCACAAGCAGCTAGTTGCTGTAATCAGAGTAATCTCTCTCCTCTCCTGGCTGCCACAGTCCAGCTGGGAGATCAGAGGCCCCAAACTCTCTTCCCCATCTTATCCCCAAACCACTTACTCCCTCCTTTCTCTTTATGTCCCGCCTCTACTGGCTGAGAGGGCCATGTTCTCCATCCCCAGCAGGGAGTTTCTAGAGATGAGAGAGAAGTGCCCTTCCCCCATGCAGACTGCTCTGTGTGTGGCAGTCTTGAGCCCCTGGGTGGGGCTCAATAAGCAGCTAGACAGCCGCCCTGCAGCTCAGCTTAGATGAACTTTAATGAATTATATGTTCAGAATCCTTGTGCCATGTTCCAGAAGGGAACTAAGACCAGGGAGAATAAGTGACCTTTCCAAAGTCATCATGGAAGTTTGTGCCAGAACCAGAAAGAAAACCCAGATAGTCTGAGTCTCAGTGCAGTGCATTAACCGTAAGATCAACCTTCTACGCTTACTGAAACCAATGATCCCAATGAATAAAACACTCATAAAACACCAATAATAAAACATCAATAACTAGCCCTCATGAAATGCAAAGTGCTCCACTTAGGAAGGAACAATCAGTTCCATACATACAGAATGGGAAGCGACTATCTGGGAAGGAGTACGGCAGAAAGGGATCTAGGGGTCATAGTGGACCACAAGCTGAATATGAGTCAGCAGTGTGATGCTGTTGCAAAGAAAGCAAACATGATTCTGGGATGCATGAACAGGTGTGTTGTGAGCAAGACACAAGAAGTCATTCTTCTGCTCTACTCTGCACTGGTTAGGCCTCAATTGGAGTATTGTGTCCAGTTCTGGGCACCGCATTTCAAGAAAGATGTGGAGAAATTGGAGAGGGTCCAGAGAAGAGCAACAAGAATGATTAAAGTTCTAGAGAACATGACCTATGAGGGAAGGCTGAAGGAATTGGGTTTCTTTAGTTTAGAAAAGAGAAGACCGAGGGGGGACATGATAGCAGTTTTCAGGTATCTAAAAGGGTGTCATAAGGAGGAGGAGGGAGAAAACTTGTTCATCTTGGACTCTGGGGATAGAACAAGAAGCAATGGGCTTAAACTGCAGCAAGGGAGGTTTAGGTTGGACATTAGGAAAAAGTTCCTAACTGTCAGGGTAGTCAAACACTGGAATAAATTGTCCAGGGAGGTTGTGGAATCTCCATCTGTGGAGATATTTAAGAGTAGGTTAGATAAATGTCTATCAGGGATGGTCTAGACAGTATTTGGTCCTGCCATGAGGACAGGGGACTGGACTCAATGACCTCTCGAGGTCCCTTCCAGTTCTAGTATTCTATGATTCTGTGATTCTGTGAACTATATTTTGAAGTAAATACATCTGTGCTCCTGCCCTGTTTGTAAAATTCACCCTTATGTGCTTAAATACTCATTGCATACAGATATTGAGTAATTGTGCACTATCATAACTGCCTGGGTTGTATGTACTAATGTAAACTAGGTATATTGTTTTAAAATCACAATGTACATACCTATATTCAAAAAATAATATCTTGGCATGCTCAAAATATTTCTAAAATGTTCTTTTCAGAATTTTAGTTTAACAGTGACAGGTAACAAACCATCTGTTTACTATACCTTAGTATTTGTTGAATTCACTTTTATTTGGAATTCTTCCAAGACAGAAACAAGTTTTTTATAGTTAGTGATGTTTCGATAGATTTTACTTCCAAGAGATGTGTTCCTATCCAGAAAATCCACAAATATGGTAGACTCCTCCATCAATTTTTCTTTGGTCCACATGATCTAATAAAATTCAGTTCAGACTATTAATCTCACCATTTTATATGTTAGAAAGCAATGCTCAATGCTGCTCTTAACTCAAATGGTTGTTCTGCCTATTATTGTTTCCTCACAGTTCTCATAATAAGACCATTTCTGTTGCTCAGACCTTTGCCATATTTTATTGTTTGAACTGAAATTTTCCATAATGGATATATGTCTGATGATGCCTTTTTTTTTCCAATCAGCAAGAAATGTTCAGCCATTTCTAAGAATGAAATTAGGAAAGGTACATTATTTTTGCCATGTTAAATTAGTGACCTTTTTTCTTAAAATTCTAGCACCTGCATGCTATGTAGCAGGAATTTTAAATTTGGCAGGTGATATCTTGAATTTCCTTTTTCTTGTTACTTTAAAAATCCATTCAAATTTGGCAGAGGAGGAAGGGAGGGTGGATATATAGCAGCTGTGGCCAACTCGCAGCTCTTCCCCCCCCAAAAGTGCGGCTCACAAAGCTGCTCCTGCCCCCTCACATGGCCCCCAGCTCCCTCCGGCCCCCGGCTTCCCTGTGCTTACTGGGTCGGTGATTCAAAATGGCACCCAAGATGGCGGCCATCAACAGGAGCCTAATATGGCCAAAAAGCCTAAGTTTGCTTGCTCCTTAAAGGGGCAGCCTCCTTTTTTTGTTTTGTTTTGTTTTGTTTTATTTTGCTTTGCTTGACAATTCTGGGGGGCTTTTTTTTTTACTTGACAATTCTGGGGGACTTTCCTTTTTTTTTTTATTTGCTTGACAATTCTTTGCATTTTTTCCGCCACTGTTTCGGCTCTCTTTGTTAAATGGGTTGGCCATCCCTGGTGTATAGCATGGAGGACATCCAGAGTACCTGAAACACATTTCCCATGGAACCCAAACTGTGGTTTAGGAAAGAACAAAACCATTGACACTTCCTGTTGCTCTTTGTTGCAAAGAGGCCTAGGTCGGGATACCCCTACCTGTGGAAAATGCTTAGGGCTACATATATTCTGAGGGACTACTTGTGGTGTGGAAAAAACGGCATGATCAGTCCATGAGCACGTTCTGAATTCCCAGGAGGTATGTAGCCTCCAGCTGGATGGGAGAATGTATATTATCATTCCTGGCTTCGTGATTTAATTTTTAGCACTTAAAGTTAAGTATGGTGAGATGTTTCCTTATTTTTCCAGATAAATTTCAGCTGCAAACTATCTTCTCACCTGGATGTAAAGAAATAGTTTTTCTTCATTAACAGAAAGTGTTATGTGCTATTAAATTCCGGTATGCTTGCTTCTGCTTATTTCCAATTATGGTGAAAAGTGGCAAAAGCCCTCTGTCCCCCTCTCTTTGTTCACTCACACAGGGTCAGATAGAATCAGTCATCTAATATTTAAGGGCCAAATCCTCCAAGCCTCTCTGCATGGAATACAGGACCAAGCTAACTTTTTAAACGATGGCCAAATTCTGTTCTTAGTTATACTGGATTTATCCTGTTGTAACTGAGAGAAGATTATGGCCCTTAATTTATACATCTATGATTACTATTATTTTTATAACTAAGGAAGTTTTCCAAAAGACCCTAAATCAAATCCACAAAGATTTTCTTTTTTAAAAATATCTACAGAAATGTACGTATTTACCTTAAAATAGTTATATAGCTCATTTGAGAGAAACTGATAAAATGCTTCTCTTTCAGCAGATTCAATCAGGCGATCATGGAATACTCGTGTTGTTTCATGTACAAAGAGAAGAGCTGCAGTTTCTTTTGAGACAATAACAGATCTGTGGGCTTGCAACAATCCCTGGAGCACCTGTTAGCAATTTTAGTATATAGTGTTTATATGAACTTTTAAATTAATTGGATTACTAAAAGAGATACCGGTATGTTTATTTTTTAAAACTTATTACAGTATATGGTAGTTTATCAACAGTAGTATCATATGTTTAATCAGAACTAAAGATTCAAATATCTCTTACTAAAGGTTGTATTTTCTTCTCCTGCACATGCATTCAAAGAAGAAGCCTCCTACCTTGCACCTCCCATACAGGGCGCGATAACATGACAGTTCCTGGGCCTCGACAATGCTTACAACATGATGCTAGCCAGGGAAGGTCGGAGGACATGAAACAAAGTGCACGTTGCATCCCCTATAGGATGTAGCAGCAGGTGTATCTTCCCTGAGCATCAGGGAAGTTCAAAAAATATTATGCCTCTGAGGCACAATTAGTCCAGGAGTCCTAATGGGCTGGCTCAACTTAATCCAGGCCCTCCCATAGGGCTGTTGGTATAAGTCAGGTGACAACCCATATTTGAGCAGCCATCAGTAAGGCTGCACATCTGTCATGGAAGTCACAGATTCCATGACTTTCTGTGACTTCTGCACCGGATGGTGCACCTGGCTTTGGGGCTGCCTGAGCAGCTTGTGCAGACCCTAGGCTGCTGCTGAGGCAGTTTGCGTGTGGAAAGAGATTTGGGGCTGGGGAAGAGGGTTGGGGTGCAGGGCAGTGCTTATCTCAGTGGGGGGATTCCTTGGAAGTGACTGGCATATTCCTGCAGTGTCTAGAGGAAGGGAAGTGGGAGTGGTCCTCCACGTGCTGCCCCAGCCACAAGTTCCAAACAAACAGCTCCCATTGGCTGGGAACAACTGAAGCCAAAGGAGTTTTGGTGGCAGAGATAGTGGCAAGGGCAGCATGTGGAGGAGACCCCTGGTTTTCCCTCCCCCTAGGAGCTGGAGGGACATGCTTGCCGCTTCCAGGGAGCTGGCAGTCTGCAAGCCCCACAGCTGCAGTGGGGGTCCCAGCCAGCACAGCACTGTGGTCCCAGGCAGTGAGCTGCTGCCTGGCCCCTCCCTAGAGCAGGGGTGGCAGGTTTGTATAATTTTTGGTGGTGCCCAGAATGGGTTCGTTCCATGCTTATGCTACTATGGTGTCTGTGTGGATAACCTAGGAAAAAAGGGTGCAAATATAAAAAAAGGGTAATATATATATACATATTAATATATATTAAATATTCAATATATTCAATATAATATATTGAAGTGGGCGAATGCTGCTTTTGATTTTCCACTTTTACATTATTTAATAAAATATATATCAGCTTACGGGGGGGGGTCTACTTTCGAAAGTTCTTCAATGTAAATAGGGCTTCTTCAAAAGAGAGCATCCAGACTCTCTGCTTTTTCGCCTAGTCTGAACTAACTGCCCACGACTACACGCAGCAGTCAAACGTTAACTCGAACTAAGTCCTTAGTTCGAGTTAACTGTTACACCTCATGGAATGTAACAGTTAACTTGAGGTGTTACAGTTAACTCGAAGATGTAACGGTTAACTCGAACTAAGGACTTAGTTCGAGTTAACGTTTGACTGCTGCGTGTAGCCGCGGGCAGTTAGTTCGGACTAGGAGGAGTTTAAAAAGGCTCCTGGATGGGACGATGCAAATAAAGCCCGGGATATTTAAATCCCAGACTTCGTTTGCAACTTCGAATGCCTACATTAGCCTCCTTAGTTTGAACTAGGGGACTAGTGTAGACATACCCTAAGAGTTTCCTCCTATGAGCAGAATGAATTTTGTGTTGTGCACCAGTACTGAGTTCATGTGGCTTGTTTGGATGTGCCACTGTGGGATTCAAGTTATTAATAAATACCTTATAAACCTCTACCCTTTCCCTCTGCTGCCATGTCTCCTCCCCTTGCTCCTTCAGCTCCCGTGGTGCCTGCTGCCCCCCAACCCCTCACCCTCTTCTGTTGTCCTGACTTGGACTCCTGCCCTTCTCACTGCCCTCAGCCCTCCTGAGACCTGCCCCCCTCCACCAGCCCTTCTCTCCCCCCTGTGCCCACTCCTCCAGTAGCCCAACTCTGATCATTGAGCCACCCCTCCTCATCCTCTCTCCTAAAACCTTCCTCTACATACCTGCACTGCCTCTCTCCTCTGGTGCTGGTCCCTCCCCTGCAGGTGTCTGCCCTTCTGCTTCACCCCAGAATCACCTTCCCTTACCCCTGCACCCTTCTGGTGCCCCCTCTTCCCTGACTGCCCCTGCCCCCTTTGCCCTCTTTTTCCCTCATGCCCACCCCCTCACCATCCTATACTCCCCATTCCCCTCATGCCCCTGTGCCCTCACACATGACTTGTTCCATCCCCACCTTCCTCATGCACACCCCTTCTTTCCAAGTCTTCTCCCAGCATCTCCCCTCCCCCTTCTGGCCCCCAATGCCCTTACCCTCTCCTCTCCCAGCATCACCCTATCCCCCCTCCCACTGACACCTTCCCTCCTGTCCTTTTCCTCAGTCTCCACTTGGCCACCTGGCTAGGGTTGCCAGATGGTTGAAACAAAAATACCAACCCCCTCCCCCCCCCCAAAAAAAAACCACAGGGGAAAAATTCTGTTGAAGGAAAAAAAGGGGAGCACTAACACCTAGGGGAAAACGAAGTTACTCACCTTCGGTGCAGTAACTGTCATTCTTTGAGATGGTGTCCCTGCGGGTGCTCCACTATGGGAGCTGGGCTTGCCCCAGCGCCGCAGACGGAAGCTTGTCAGAAACACTATTCAGTTGGACCATGCATGTGCTGTGGGGCTCGCGGCTTTTGCATTCTTTTCCTTGGCATGTAGTCCGGCCTCCCGCCAGTTCCTCGAGATCGCCTCAGAGTCTGTAAGACACAAGAGAAAAGAGGACTCTGAAGCGGGGAGGAGGGCGGGTAGTGAAGTACCCGCAGGGACACCATCTCAAAGAAGGACAGTTACTGCACTGAAGGTGAGTAACTTGGCTTTCTTCTTCGAGGATGTCCCCGTGGGTGCTCCACTATGGGTGACTGTGTAGCAGTGGTTGCCAGAATGGAAGGAGGGCCAGAGGAGTCCCTATTTATCTGCTGTGGAGAGCACCGCAGTTGCCACTGCCCCATCAGAGCGAATGGTCAGAGATATAGAATAGTGTTTGGCAAAGGTTTCATGTGATGACCAGGTGGCCGTCCTACAAATATCCTTGAGGGATACCCCTTTATGGAAGGCTGTCGAGGTCGCCATAGCCCTGGTGGAGTGGGTGCGTGGTTGGGCGGGTAGGGGTAAGTGTTTTGCTGCGTAAGATTACATTATGCATGAGGTTATAAGATTTGAAATCCTCTGGGAAGATAATGGCTGTCCTTTCAACCTATGTGCCAGGGAGACAAATAGGCGGTCCGTATGTCTAAAGAGTCTAGTGTGGTCTATATAGAAGGCTAAGGACCTCCGGATGTCCAGGGAGTGTAGGGCCGCTTCCTGTGGTGTGGTGCTTCAGGGAAAAAACTGGTAAGATTACTGGTTCATTGACATGAAAATGGGAGACGATTTTGGGTATGAATTTTGGGTGCGGTCTCAACACTACCCCATCATTTCGAAAGATTGTATATGGTGGCGTATCCATTGTGGCCAAAAGCTCGCCCACCCTGCGTGTCGATGTTATGGCAAGTAAGAAAATTGTTTTCATAGTGAGGAGATGTAAAGATGCAGTCGCCAGAGGCTCGAACGGTGGTCTCATTAGGGCGTCAAGGATTAAATCCAGGTTCCACATCGGTGGGACTGGGTCATGTGGCGGGGTCATGTTGGCGAGACCCTTGAGAAATCTCTTCATGGTAGGGTGGGTGAAGATGGAAATGCCATCCACCGGTGGTGTAAAGGCTGAGATTGCCACCAAGTGTACCCTGATGGAAGCTAATGCAAGTCCTGTGTCTTTTAGGTGCATCACATAGTCGAGCACCAGAGGAATAGATGGACGTTCCGGATCGTGGTGGTTCGTGGCACACCAGGAGGTGAATCTGAGCCACTTATGAAGGTACATTTTCCCCGTGGCTTGTTGTTTACTGTATAAGAGGACGCGTTGGACTGGTGCTGAGCAGAGGGATTCAAATGGGGTCAACCAGTTAGGAACCATGCTGTGAGGTTCAGGGTGTGTATCTGGGGGTGTTCCAGATGTCCTCGGTTCTGGGTCAGCAGGTTCAGAAGGACTGGTAGGCAGATTGGTGCACATGCAGACAGACGGTGGAGGAAGGAGAACCAGTGCTGGCGCGGCCAATCCGGTGCTATGAGGATGAGCCTTGCAGTCTGCCCTAAGCTTCTGAAGAACTCTCAGGATCAGCGGTGTGGGAGGAAAGGCGTAGAGGAGGGGTCCGTGCCAGCTGATGAGAAAGGCGACCCCCAGGGATGCATGGCCGAGGCCCACCCTGGTACAGTGCTTGTGGCATTTCGCATTGCGGGAGGTTGCGAAGAGATCCACTCGGGGAGTTCCCCAGCATTGGAAGAGCTCAAGTAGGACTTCCCACTCGTGTTTCGCATTGAAGTGCCTGCTTAGGAAGTCTGAGGTCACGTTTGTGGTGCCAGGTAAGTAAGATACCGTAGGTGTTATTCCGTAGTGAATGCACCAATTCCAAAAGCGGATAGCTTCTGTGCATAAGGAATGGGAGCGAGCGCCGCCCTGACGATTCACATAATACATGGCTGTGACATTGTCCATGAGTATCCTCACAGTGGTGTTCTGGATGTGGTTGAGGAAGGATTTGCAGGCGTTGAAGATGATGCGTAGTTCTAAGAGGTTTAAATGTAGTCGTGCTTTTCATGGGGACCATTGGTCCTGGGCTGAGAGAGACCCCATGTGTGCTCCTCAGCCCAGCAGAGAAGCGTCTGTTGTGATCTGGTGGAGGGGTTGCTGTTGATGGAAAGGTACCCCTGATAGGAGATTCTTGCGGCTGGTCCACCACAGGAGTGATCGGGTAATGAAGGGTGGAGGCGTTACTGGCCTGTGGAGATTGTATCTGGTGTGGTTGTAGACCAGTGTCAGCCAGTATTGAAGGGCGCAAAAGTGCAGTCTGGCGTACTTGACCACGTATGTTGTGGCGTCCATATGGTCCATCAATCTCAGGCATGTCATAAGTGAAATGGTGGGACTGACGGCAATGGTATGGATGAGGTCCTGGATGGCCTGAAATCTTTGCAGATTGGCTCTGCTGGCGAGTGAGTCCAGGCGGGCCCCTGTGAACTCAAGGTTCTGGATAGGGTGCAAAATGGACTTTTGCTCGTTGAGGAGTCTGAGCGATTGGAAGACTTGTCTGGTGAGTTGAATCATATGAGAGACCTCGAGTACAGAAGGACCCTAGAGTAGGCAATCGTCCAGGTACGGAAAGATGACTACTCCTTGTTGTCGGAGGAAGGTCGCAACTACCGCTATGACCTTTCAAAATACCTTGGGGGCTGAAGATAGCCCGAAGGGAAGGACCTTGTATTGGAAGTGATCCTTTCCCAGGACAAACCATAAGAACCTTCTGTGGGCTAGATGGATAAGGACGTGAAAGTAGGCTTCCTGGAGGTTGAGGGCGGCAAACCGGTCTTGTGGATCCAATGTAGGAATTACAGCAGCTAAGGTGGTCATTTTGAATCGTTGTTTCCACAGGAATTTGTTCAGATGGTGGAGGTCCAGGATGGGACGCCAACCTCCAGATCTTTTCTGGGTGAGGAAATAATGTGAGTAGAAGCCCCTGTTTTTGACTCATTTAGGACTGACTCTATGGAACCCAGGGAGAGAAGACAGTCAACTTCTGCTCGAAGGAGGGCCTCATGAGAGGGGTCCCTGAAAAGGGACGGGGTGGGAGGGGTGATGATGGGTGGAATGGAGGTGAAGGGAATGGGGTAGCCAGTTTGAACAATTTCCAGAACTCATCTGTCTGTGGTGATTTTGGTAGAAAAAGGGCCTCAACTGGTGGTGAAAGAGTTGTGTAGGACGATCCGTGGTGCTGCCTGTGACTGTTTGCTTGCCCCCGACCAAAGTATCAAACCTGTTGCTTTTTGTTGAGAGCCATGTTTGTCCTGACGTTTGCATTGAAGCGTTGCTGGGGCCTCTGGCGCGAGTGTTGGTTATCAAAACCCCTCTGTTGCTGGTGTTGCTGCTGCCATTGGTGTCTAATGTCCATTTGAAGGGACGTTCTCACTGACGTATAGCCCTCTTGGATGACTGATTTCAAAATAGATTTCTTTGAATCCAGTAGGTGGCCCATGAGAGGGGTCAGGTGTGAAAAAGTGTCAAAGGTGTGGTTAGACAGGTGTGCCGAGTAATTGGCGATTCTAAGAAGTAGTGTTGCTGATGTGTAGACCTTACTGCCTAGAAGGTCTAGCCTCTTCATCTCTTTGTCGGAGCCCTGTTGTTTAAAGTGTGGGGCCTTAGCCCTCTGTTGGGCTGCATTGACGACTAAGGAATTTGGCTGGGGATGGGCAAAGAGGAATTCCATGTCCTTTGGGGGCTCGAAATATTTTCTGTTGGCCCGTTTGTTCGTCGGTAGAGTGGATGCCGGAGCATGCCATATTTCATTGGCAATTTCCAGGTTGCCCTCATTGTGGGGAATGGCCAGAAGCAACCTGTGCTGCGGCTGGAGGTTTCTGTAGAGTTTGTGTTGCTTGTCCTTGAGTTCCTGCAATGGTATTTCCTGGGTGGTTGCTACTCATTTGAACAATTCCTGAAACTGACAGAGGTCATCTGGTGGAGAACCCTCTCCTGGAATGACTGCCTCATCTGACGAATCTGTTGGAGAGACCCCCGTTGGCTGGTCCGCAAAGGAGGTGTGCTCCAGTTCTGATGGAGGCTGAGATGGCGAAGCCAAATGTTCCAGAGGAGTAAGAGGAGCCGAAGTTGGGGAGCGCCTGGGTGAAACATAGTCATAGGCGGACCGTGATCGGTAGGAATACCTACTGCAAGAGTCTTGGGAGTAGCGATTGCCGCGGTGGTATAGACCGTCCAGCAGTGAGCGTCTGTCCGGATAGTAAGAATGTGAGCGATACCGATAATGGCGTGGAGAGTAAGGTGAACAGGAGCAGTTGTATGATGCCCTGGAAGAAGCAGGAGACAGAGAGCTTTCTGTAATGGTGTCTTCGATGAGAGGGTCCAGCAGCCAGGAATGGGGATGGCAGTCTGAAGGAAGCACGCGGAGACCTGAGGCGGCCAGCGTAGCAGTGTGGAGAGCACTGCGCCGTAGGAGGAGACGGTGCTGAGGATAAGAGAAGGGAGCGAGAGCAGCTCCGGCACGGTGAGATTGAAGGAGCGGGGCTAATTGCTCCTTAGCCGGTGCTGTGCTGCCCTGTGTCGGCAGCTCAGGTACCACAGCAGTGGGTGCCGTGATGGTGGTCGGTCATGTCGGTGCCGTGGCATGGATGCAGGCGGAACCAGTGCTACTGTCTGTGCAGACTCCCATGGCCGCTTTGGCTTGTGTGCCATTGAGGTTGCGGGACGTGGCTTTGTGGTGCTGGACGTTCCCGGTCTATCCCCCTGACTCTCCCTGTCATGTAAGGCAGTCGGCAGAGATCTGGTAGGGGAGAGCCTAGGTTTCTTCTGTATGCCGGTAGTGGGGGATGAAGCCCATCGCTTGGGGGCTGTTTCTCAGTCACGGTATATTGCGGCTGCAGGGCTTTATCAAAGAGGAGCATTCAGAGGCGCCTCTCTCTATCTTTTCTAGACCTGGAGGTAAGTTTAGTGCAATGAGCACATTTCTGGGAAACATAAGATTCGACCAGACATCTGATACAGTCAGAATGGCCATTGGAGGCTGGCATTGCCTCCCGGCAAGAGCCGCATTTTTTAAAACTGGTAGCTGCCAAGATAGTAAGGTTTGTTCCGTGTGTAAGGTATAAAGCAGTTCTTCTTTATAACAACAGAGAAAAGACGTCTAATTCTCTGTTTTTTTCCTTCTTATTCTTTTTTTTTTTGTTTTTATTTTTTGTTTAAAGGACGCAACTATGTACAAGGAGCGGAAATGGGGAAAACGGACAGGAAGCGAAAATACCAGACTGTCCGGGTGAATATCGGACACCTGGCAACCCTACGCCTGGCATTTCTCTCTCCTCCACCCTGTCCCTTGGTACCTTCCCCTTTCATCTCCTGACCTGCCCCCTTCTCCTCAGCACAAGCCCCTTCCTCTCTTACCCCTTCTTCCTATTTTTCCCCCATGTCACCCTACCTTCTTCCTTCCAGTTTGCAGCGCTGGAGTCAGTGATCGGGCGCCAGCTGCTTTTGGGGCTCCAGACCATTTGCCGGGCCTGGAGCTGGGTCACGTTGTTTTAAAGCCCCGGGCCATGATGTCATGTCACGCCCGGGCGTCTCCCCTCTCAGCTATTGTGCGGCACTTCAGCACACCGCGCATGTGCTCCAGGGATGGGGGGGAATGCTCTGGGGCTGGGAGGGGAGGATGCACAGAGACTGAGGGGATGGCAGGTGGGGGCCGGGGCCCACTCCAGGCAGGGCCAGGGGAGAGACATAGCTCCAAATATTGGTGGAGCAGGGCCCCCGGCTCTGAATATTTCTGGAGCATGGGCACCACGAGCCCAGGTAACTCGCTGCCTATTCCCTAGAGAACTTATGTGCTCTGAAGCCCAAGTTTTAGTTAAGGGTATATAGTGCAAGCCATGATCAGATCACAGGCCATTAATTTTTGTTTACTGCCTGTGACTTTTACTAAATACCTGCAAATGAAACATAACCTTAGGCATGACCTTAAGCAATTCACATGACTGCTGGGGCACTTTTTGAGATGTCAGACAGTTTGTGACACAGAGCTTAAATGATCCAAATTTCCATACATACTAGGGATAGAAGCAACTCCTGACCTAATAATTTTCCCTTCCCCATCTTCTCTGGCAGCATGTACATGAAAATATTTTTATATTTGTAGATCTTGCACAACAGGTACTGATGTATATGCTCAGCCTTAATTCAAACTTTAATCTCTTCTTTAAATTAATATAATCAAAGGGTTAATTGTGCCCTGGTATAACTGGAAGCGCAACTTCACTGAAGACAATTTAGTTGTGCCTTGTTGCAAGGCTGAAAATGGCCCAAATTATTTAGTTCCTAAATATTTGTTTCTCGTGTTAACACATCTTTTTTTTGTAGGAAACAAAGGTAAGATACAACATTATAGATCAATTCACAAGTGAGATATATGTTAGTATACAGTGCTTTTGGTATAGCCACTTTGATAACCAGCAACAAATACTTTTAAAATTAATAATTGGTAGTCTCAAGAAAAACTTAAAAAACAACAAATAGTCTAACAGCACCTTAAAAACTAACAAAACTTGTAGATGGTATCATACTCTATTTTACCCTTTTCTTCAAAGAATTTATTAGTAATTATTTCTCAGTGATCTTGGCAATTCTGAAAGCAAAGACTAGATTATATACAGAAATTTCCAAATATATTTTCCTTGTGCGTCACAATCCAAATTGAAACTATCATAGGACTCCAGATGGCAAGACTAATTTAATAATGTACCTATGAGAACCAGGCTAACTTCAGTAGACAAAATTATATATGCTCTTGGTTGTTCACGCTGCATAAAAACTAAGAATACATTTATGGAAATCTAAAATGTCTAGTGCAGTAGAACACACCTTGAAAAGATCTCGTAGATTAAATGTATAGTGGCACTTAGCTGGTGTTGGGAGCATGCTGCGGCACATTCTATAGTATACAGCTATGGAAGAGGTAGTTAGAAAGTCATTGCATTTCTGAACTTCAGATAAGAATCTGTTGTTATATAGGTATGTTCCCAGATGAACCTAAAGAAGAAAAATGTATATGATTTGATCACTACAGCTTAAGAAAGAGTTAAACATATTGCTAACTGCTGAAATATAGCAAAATGTATAGGATAAAAAGCAGCAATTTATTATTTTTATAATTATTTTATCAGGAAGAGACACTCTTTACTGACTAACAAGTCCTTCAAGATGTGTTGTCCACTTCTGATCTATGTGCCTACTGCTTTTTAACAAGAGACTTTAGGTCAGGAATACCTGCTTGGGTAAGGCATGTGCCCGAGTATCTTCATGCCTCCATAACCGAGGGCATAAAAAATAGGACCACTAAAACTGGTCCTGAGTTTCTTCATCACTGGAAACCTTAAAAAAATAGACTCTGCATTTGCAGGGATGTAGGGCATGTTGTGGCATGCATGTGTACAGGTAAGTAACTTTCTTTTTTGAGTGCATGCCCACATACACATTCCAACAAGCAATATACATGTTGGAAGTGAGAACTACAAATCTTTTAAAACAAAGACCTAAAGAACTTGTTTCCCAAAGATTACATCAACTGTAAATCCAGCCACACATCTGCTCAGCATTATGCCATTGTAGAACATGTCATACTGATGTCCAAAAAAGGAACATAACTTAGAGTAAGCACCTTGTGCACTAGTAAATAAGCAATAATCGTAGGTAATGGACTTGCATTAGTGTGTATGTTACAAATTTTGTTGCACAGTGAGATCTAGTTATAGATTCTGTGAACCACAACAGCCTAACTCTTCATTATCTCTGCATATACAAGAGTTGGAGAAATATTCTGAACTGTTTCATCCCATTCACTTGAAAGGAAAATGCCCTATAGACCTCTAAAGAATGCAGTCTCTTGTTACTTTTGTGAGTTTGAGGTTTCAGGAAAAAAATATCAGTAGATGAATGACCTGATTCAAGTGAAAATCAAAAACCACCTTCAATAAGAATCTGAAATGGATCTTTAAGGAGATATTATCTATGGAAAACACTATAATACAGTTAAAAGCTCTGTTATCTGGCATGTTGTGGGAGTGCAGGGTGCCGGTAAATTGAATATTTGGTTAACTGTGAGTTACATTTCACCAACTTAATAACAATTTCCAAAGAATTAGATTACAATAAGTTAAATAAATTATAAAATAGTATACAGGTACTCACCAATCCAGTAGTAGTACTGCACTGCAGAGTGGTTGGTTTCTTGAAGCACTTAGGGTATGTCTACACTACCCTCCTAGTTCAAACTAGGAGGGTAATGTAGGCATACCGCACTTGCAAATGAAGCCCGGGATTTGAATTTCCCGGGCTTCATTTGCATAAGCGGGGCTCCGCCATTTTTAAATCCCTGCTCGTTCGAACCCTGTGCCGCGCGGCTACATGCGGCACGAACTAGGTAGTTCGAACTAGGCTTCCTAGTTCGAACTACCGTTACTCCTCATTCCACGAGGAGTAACGGTAGTTCGAACTAGGAAGCCTAGTTCGAACTACCTAGTTCGTGCCGCGTGTAGCCGCGCGGCACAGGGTTCGAACGAGCGGGGATTTAAAAATGGCGGAGCCCCGCTTATGCAAATGAAGCCCAGGAAATTCAAATCCCGGGCTTCATTTGCAAGTGCGGTATGCCTACATTACCCTGCTAGTTCGAACTAGCGGGGTAGTGTAGACATACCCTCAGGTATTTACAGGTAAAATGTTCTATTTAGTAGGTTATCTTAGGACACTACATATTACTATGGGCAGGGTATTGCTTACATCCAGATCACTTAAAATACACATAAACACTAAACCTTTACTAATCATAATTTAATCTTTCTTTGATTAAAAAAACCTTAAGAAAAACAAACAAATAAGGAGTGGTTCTGTAGCACCTTAGAAACTAACTAACTAGATAGATAAACTGAAGCAATGGATTGTGCCCACAAAAGCCTATGATTTTATCTATCTATCTATCTATCTATCTATCTGTCTGTCTGTCTGTCTGTCTGTCTGTCTGTTTTAAATTACAGACTAACCACAGCTACCCCACTGAGACTTTGATTCAAAAGGGACTTCAAGATCTTACAGTGCCTCAGGGTCATCATTATCAACATCAATTACCATTGTAGGTGTCAGAAATTGTTCTAAATCAGTAATGAACCTATAGCACACTCTGGAAGCTGATTTCAACTTGCTTGCTTGCCTTCTGCCTCTTTTGCATAAAAGTAGAATGTAGAATATGCAATTACATAATGTGCTAGGCAGTATGCTAGTCCTGGTTATTGAAGTGAAGATTTGTATTGGGAGATGCCAGAAATGCTGGTTAACAGAAGTTTCTGGTGAACTGAATGATAGGTAACAGCTTTTACTGTAGATGTCCTGCCATTAGATACAATAACTCCCCTCATCTCTTTGCTAATGCTATTGCCAATAAAAATGCTATCTTTGTTAATAAGTGAAATAGAGAAGATGGAATAATGAGACCTGCCAGGATTAAAGGGATTTGTTTTCTTACGGGTGGGGGGGAGCTTTAGAAAACCTAGTTACCATAAGCTAGGATGGTGGCCTCCAACCTTTCTACACCCAAGATCACTTTTTAAATGTCAGAGCAAGCCAAGATCTACCCCATCCCTTCTCTAAGACCTCACCCCTTCTTTGAGGCTCTACCCTCTCCACTCCCCCCCTCTCCATCACTTGCTGTCCCTCGCCCTTACTCTCATTGGGTTGAGACAGGTGGTGTGGGCCTTGGGGTGGGAATGAGGGATTTAGGGGAGGGAAGGGGTGAGAGGTACAAGCTCTGGGAGGGAATTTGGATACAGGAGGAGGTGGATAAGGAAATGCTGGCTTGGGGAAGGGGCTCTATGCTGGAGAGTGCTTGGGTCAGGCAGAGGGTTGGGGTGGTCAGCAAGCCACAGACTTGTGGATATCTGGGTGCAGGAGTCTGGGTTGGTCTGTATGAGGGGCTCAGGACACAGGTTTGCAGTGTGTGGGTGGTGCAAGAATGTTGTTGCACAAGACTGGGAATATGGGGGCAGTAGGAGTTTGAGGGTGTGGGGGGCTCAGGGAAGGGGGTTCAGGTGTATGATGGGCTCAGGGTTGGGGTATATGGGGTGCAGGGGTGTTATGATACTGCGGTCAGATGGGGACTTAAGTAAAATATTGTGTCCAACACAAAATGTTTTAACATTGTCTTTATTCATGGGAGGGGTGGGGAACATTTTTTGGGTCAGGAGGCCACTGACCCACAGAAAAATCAGTCAGGGACAATGCAAGTGATATGCAAAAAACCAACTCCTCCAAAAAACCCCAACCCTCACTGATGTGGCCCCAACTGAGACACTTCACTCCCCTGGCACTCCAGCCCCATGGTGGGGGAAGAGGGTAGGTAGGACTGAGGTTCAAGGCCTGAGGCCAGATTAACTCTTCTGGGGTTCCAGGGCTAGTGGATTTTTGGGCTCTCCTAGGCTCTGGGGTGAGGCCAAAAATGAGGGATCCAGTGTGTGGGGACTGGGCTGCCAGTGAGTAGGATAGGGGTGAGGTGGGGTACAGAAGCAAACTGGGGATAGGTGTCTGGCCAGGAGGGAGGGGGCAGGAACAGGATGCTGGTAGGTGTCTGGACAGGGGGCAGGGGCACGGTGCTGGTGCATGTCTGGCCAGTGGAGAGTAGGCAGGGGCAGCTTGGCTGGTACCTGGAGGTCTCCTGGGACTAGTATCTCTTGGGAAGGATCTGAAGGCAGCTGTAACAGTGTTGATGTGGCTATTATAAAGCTTTTTTGTTGGCAGGGACATGGTGCTTGTTGATTTTTTTTTTAAATTGTCACTACATGACAACTGGATGCTTTGCGCATGCAGCTGTGCTTTAGCAAATCAGAATGCTGGCTTCTGCAATTGTCAGTGGGGTTCTGAAAGTAGTGAGTAACTAAGTGCTTCTGGAAATGGTAGTGGAGTAAAAAGTACAATATTTTCTAAAAAAAAAGCACTTGAGTAAAAATTGAAGTATCACAAAAATAAATTACTTGAGTAAAGTACAAATACCGAAAAAATGTACTTGAGTAATATAACGAAATATTTCTACTTATTTACTTTCCACCTCTGATTTTTAATACATAAGGCAACACCTTATAACACAAATACTGGGGACAAAGGGCACTATTGTAAGGAGGATTGCTAGCAATTGGGCAGAAATGGTAATAGTCCAAGGATCAGAAAAGGTGTCAAAGCATCTAAAAAATAAACAGGTTTTGATGAAGATTCCTATTCTAATGATAGGAAATCCTCCTCAGTCCTTGCCCTATTTTCTTTAAAGGACACACACCTTCCTGCTTCAATTTCCCAAGCCCAACAAGAACAGCAAGGTGTTTTTTCTTATCAGGATAAAGAAGGGTACAGTAATTGATGGGAGATTTGGGCGCACCTGTTTGGCAGAAGAGGTAGGTGAAGGAAAGATGAAAAACTGAGCATGAGCTTAATCTCTTGTTGTTCCTCAAATGTAATTTACTGATATAAACTAAAAATCTACCTCAGTGCATGCTGGGTTAATTTAACCAAAATCTCACAACTGTGAATTATAATACCATGACCTATGGCATCTCTCCAGGAAGGCTGTGTTAAACATTATGGGTATGTCTACACTACAGCGCTAATTCGAAATAACGCATCCAGACTAAAAAACTAGTTCGAATTAGTGTTTTGCTAATTCGAACTAGCATGTCCACATTAAGTGGACCCTGAACTGGGGTTAAGGATGGCTGGAAGCAGTGCTGGCAGGGCATCAGATGAGGACTTAGAGCGTGGAGCTGCTGTCTCAGGCTAGCCGAGGGCTGTGCTTAAAGGGACCTGACCCCCACCCCGGACAGACAGTTCTCAGGGTTGCCCCGCTTGCAAAGCAGTCCTGGCTTGGATTGCCCGGAGTACCCACACTGGGCACATCACAGCACTCGGCCATCAGACCGGCTGCACTTGCCGCAGGCTGCCATCTAGGGAGAGGGGGCAATTGGGGGGCTGCAGGAGAGTTTACACCCCGAGGAGCCTGCAGAGCCAGCCCAGTCCTCCCCATCGGGGGCTCGTACCCCATTCCTCCCTCACCTCCTTCCACTTACCCCTCCCTAGCCCCCCTTCCTGATGTACAAAATAAAGGACAATTGTGTTCAAAAATAGAATCTCTCTTTATTGAACAAAACTGGGGGAGACTGGGAAAAGGAGATGGGAGAGGGGAAGAGAGAGGGTGGGAGAGGGGAGGGCAACTACAATGATGAGCGGTTTGGAACAGGTCCCATATGAAGAGAGGCTAAAGAGACTGGGACTTTTCAGCTTAGAAAAGAGGAGATGGAGGGGGGACAGGACAGAGGTCTATAAAAGCATGAGTGGGGTGGAGAGGGTGCATACAGAAAAGTTCTTCATTAGTTCCCATAAAGAAGGACTAGAGGACACCAAAGGAAAGGAATGGGTAGCAGGCTTCAAACTAATAACAGAAAGTTCTTCTTCACAAAGCAAATAGTCAACCGTGGAACTCCTTGCTGCAGGAGGCTGTGAAGGCTACAACTAGAACAGAGGTTAAAGAGAAGTGAGATAAAGTGATGGAGGTTGGGTCCATGGAGTGGTATTAGCCAGAGGGTAGGAGTGGTGTCCCT